GCCAGCTCACGCCTGAGTAGTTGTGGCCGCAAAACTGATGGAGATAGGGTTCCAACTCGTTTCATATCCCCCTTATTCTCTAGACTTGGCTCCGTCAGACTACTATTTGTTCCCTAATATGAAAAAATGGCTGGCGGGGAAAAGATTTTATTCAAACGAGGAGGTGATTGCAGAAACGAATGCCTAATTTACAGACTTGGACAAATCCTATTATTTGGAAGGGATTAACAAACTAGAGCAGCGTTGAATGAAGTGTATAAGCCTAAAAGGAGACTATATTGAAAAATAAAAAAGATTTATTAAAAAAAATCAAGGAGTTTGTATTTTTGCACGGATTTTTCAAACGACCATCGTACTTAAGGATTTATAAAATATTCTATAGAAATGGAGTAATCTTATGAAAATCTGATTTTAGAAGTGAAATTTGATGGTAGTTTTTACTGCTTTGAATGCTATTGGCATATAACGATATACATTTCTCATTATTTTAGGCCTTATTTAGATTGAAATTTCATTCAAAGCGGTTATCATAGCTTTTTGTTAAAAGGAAACTATATATTTAACTGAAGAAGGGCTTATCCTCTTATACGAGGTCTGTCCGGAAAGTATCGGGCCTACCTTTACATTTTCGTGCTAGAGTATTTCTTTATCATCTGGTGAGTGACATCCTTCAAAGTAATCCCCACTTGATTGAATAACACGGTTCCTACGATGTTTCCACTTTTCAAAACAGTCGTGGAACTCACTTTGAGGGATAGCCTTAAGTACACTCGTCGCATTGTTTTCAACCGTTGTTTTGTCATCGAATCGGTGTCCTTCGAGTGGTTTTTTCAGTTTTGGAAACAGCCAAAAGTCACAAGGGGCTATGACGGGACTGTAAGGAGATTGTCGAAGCAATGCGATATTGGGTTTGCTCAAAAACTGCTGCAAAAGATTGGATGAATGCGCTGGCGCATTATCATTATCGTGATGGAAAAGCCAGTCACCACTTTCCCAAAAGTGCGGCCGTTTTCTTCTTACTGCATCACGTAAACGTTTCAAAATTTGTACGTAGTATTCTTTATTGATTGTCTGACCTGTTGGTGCATATTCGTGATGTACAACACCTTCACAATCGAAAAAAACAATCAACATTGACTTAACATTGCTCCGACTTTGACGTGCTTTTATTGGTCTTGGCGATTCAGAATGCTTCCTCTGTGAAGATTGTTGTTTTGTTTCAGGATCATAACCATAAACCCATGATTCATCACCTGTAATAACTTTTCTAAGCACATTATCATCATTATTAACCATTTCCAGATTGTCCAGAGCGATTTCTAAGCGAATGGTATTCTGCTCTGCTGTGAGAAATTTTGGGATGAATTTCGCACAGACGCGTTTCATTCCGAAATTTTCGATTAAAATTTCTGAAATGATAGTTTTCGGTATCCCAAGGTCTTCTTCTAGTTCTCGCACTGTCATTAGACGATCTTGTTCGATTGCAACTCGCACCCGCTCAATAGTATCTGCGGTTTTTGCCGTCGAAGGTCAGCCGGAACGAGAATCACTATCGACAGAAGTACGACCATCCTTGAACCGTTTATACCACTCTTTTATTCGTGTTTTCCTCATACACTCGCTTCCGAAGGCCTTTTGTATCATTTCAATAGTTTCCGAACTCGTTTTTCCGAGTTGAAAGCAAAATTTGATGCAAATTCGTTGATCTTGTTTTTCAGTCATTTTTGATAATATCAAAATCCGACGAACACGAAAAAGGCACTGTAAACAAAGACACGCTGCGCATGAACTATACGTCCGGCAGGTGTCAGTAAGTAACTAATAGATTCGTGAGGCTTTACTGTTGACGTTTCTGTCCGGTAGAGGTCGCTCGAACACTATGGCGCGAAGATATAAACGTAGGCCCGATACTTTCCGGACAGTCCTCGTATATACGAGCAATTTAAAAAGAAAATTCGAAATACATTACCTGTAGTTTTCAATGTCCTTCCGAATAAAAGAAGTTTCATTTAGTTTGCAAGAATAAAATTTAAAAAAAAATACTTTCACCCTTGTCAAAAATAAGAGATGCAACCCCCTGGATCTGTGGTATAACTTATAATATTATGGCATTGTAACAAATAATTTTCAGTTGGTTTCAAGAAAAAGTGTTTTGTAGAAAAGGAGATATACTGAAAGAACGGTTCTTGGGGGTGAACGTGATGAGTAGTTTCTACCCCTTAAATGGTTTCTTTGCCTCACGAATGAATACTTCTGGCTTTTTGTTAGTTGTGCATAGTATATTGAACAAATTCAATGTTAATTACATCAATTTCATTTATACAGTTAACTCAAAGCGCTTAGTTTGAATGAAAATAACAAAATTAATTTAAGAGTAGTTTAATCTTAAATTAGAAAAAATAAAAAATACGTCAACTTTGATTCTAAATACCCTTCTAAATAAAAAAAGTTAGAAAAGGATTGAATTAAATTCACAATTTTGGTAGACAAAAATATAAGAAAAAAATCACTACCACCCGAAATCGGTTACTTAGACTTGGTGTACCTTCCTTGTTAGTCCAAGACTGAAGACAAAATCTTATTGCTATGCATATCAACTTCTGTCAATGGGCTTTGAATCTGATACAAGAAAATTCTAATTTTTTTAAATTTGTACTTTTCTCTAATGAGGCGAAGTTCTGCAGCGATGGTCAACTTAACAGACATCACTATCATTATTAGTCAGATACAAATCCTCATTGGTATAGATCGATGAAGTCTCATAGTATGGTGTGGTATAGTAAACGGTTATTTGATCGGACCTTATTTCTTCGATTGAAACGTTCATGCATACAGATATTTAGAATTGATAAAGTATAGGTTACCAAAAATGTTAGAAGACGTTGATCTAGAAACAAGGAAAAGATTATGGTTCCATCAGGACGACACGCCTGCTCATTTCGCACGTATTGTTCGTAATTTTTGGACGTGACGTATAGAAAATAATGGATAAGACGAGGAGTTCAGTCGACTGGCCTCCATGTTCACAGGATCTCACATTGCCAGATTTTTATTTGTGGGGATATCTCCAGAACGTTGTTTATGCATATCGGCTAACAACGAGAGGGGATATGATGGTTCGCATCCGCCAAGCTTATAGAGCTATTCCACGGGCAACGTTGTTAAGAACAGTTGAGAATTTCCAGAGACATTTGAATCTGTACCTCGAAGCAAATGGCGGCCACTTTAAATAGGCAATTCGTGGATAAGAAGTGAGAGGCAGAGAGACTCGCAGTAAACAAGAACCCCATTGAGAGGCACGGGAACTCATGGTAAATTAGCACCTCTTACTGAAACTCCTGAATATTATTTACCTAGGTTGACCTCGAAATGACCTTGAGAATGAGGTTGGAGTCACTTGAAACTCACACGTATTACCTTATCTAAACGCAAAAATGGATGTAGGCTGCGAATATCGTTTTCCTAGGTTGACCTCAAAATGACCTTGGTCATGGGGTAGGAGTCACTTAGACACCACAGACATGACCTTGTCTAAACGTAGAAATGAACGTTGAGTGCGAATATTTGATAAAGAATAGGAATTCCCGTTGAAACAAAAGGTTGACCAAGAATTCATCTTGGGAATGGTATGAGGATCTCATGGATCCCCACACATGGAACATTACTTAAATGTAAAATTTCCCGCCGAATCCAGATCTCCCATCAAAAATAGGTGTTCCTATTTACAACATTGATCTTGAAATAACCTTGCAAAAACATGTTCAAGGACAAATGCATTATCACCTAAACGTTGTCCCCTCAAAGTTAAACAACTTTTGTCTGAAACTATATTCGAGAAAAAGCTTAATAATCGAGATATCTTAGTAGGGTGATTTAAATTGGCCACCCTGTATAATAAATCAGAAATCGATTTCTAAAATTTTGATATTGATTTAATTAAATTTTTCTATATTATGCACTACGTAGAAGACTTACTAGTTAAGAATAATGATTATAATTTAAATATTGAAAACGATGTAATTGAAAACAATTACAATATTAGAGTGAAAAGTAATGAGTCGGAAATTAAATATGAAAATTTTAATATTGAAATTGAATTATTTTAACAAATAATAAGTAGTATTCTGAAATATCAATATCTGAAAAATCGAAAAAAAAATATGTCGATATATTGACGCCATACGAGAAATAAAAAAAATGTTCGCTAACAAGTATCGACATCAATACCATTCGAGAAATAAAAAAAAATATATTAAGGTATGATAAAAGAAATAATACTTCCGACAGTACTTCAGTAGACTAGATCTACAGAGAATACCACTACAAAAAGAAAAAAAAACGCATTATGATATTTACCTCCGTGATGGTGTTGAAAAAATATCAATTATACATATTTTTAATGTAATATTTAAATAATTTTATTAAATCTTTATTCAATTGAAAACATATAACTAAAAAATATAGTTAAACAGTAGGGTAGTCAGCGGGAAAGCGGAGCGGAGTCCGACAAGTGTACTATATATAATATATTTAATGGTATTTATATTTAGTATTGTTAGGTTAATTTAATTTATGATCATTAGAGTATCTTACTAGATTTAGATGAAAATTCCATTAGAGTACATGCATAAACAAGAAAGAGTGTTAAATTGTTTGTACAAGTGTGTGCGTCCGTTTAATGATTGGGCATATGCCGGCTACAGTCTCGTATCGTTCTTATTAGTTATCTTATGCGTTGTATTAATTTTCATGTTGTCGCTAGAGTGACATCATGCATGCCATTTGAATAAATAATGTGTCTTGTTTCTACAACTCCAGTATTACTTACATTACCTGTTACTTATAGATGCTCTATCGACCAACAGGAAACAATATGTAGAACTTTATGCAGATACATGTTTACTCGCACGCGACTTGCTATTGTAATTCTTGATTTTATAACTCACTAGAATATGTAATAATATAAAAATTTAAATGTTATCGGTGTAAATAATTTTTACCTGTAGAATAGTTAAGTTAGCCTCTTGACTTAATATGAGTTTCTCCGAATCACTAGGATAAGCATTATATCTGTGCTCGTAAAGCCATCGCTTTAAGATTTTTACTGAATGTTTAGGTAAATTACCTCGGCGCTTTGTAATAGATTTGAAATTTCCATGATTGAATGAATCAGATTCTTTGTTTTTTGGTAATACAAAACTATGATCAACATCAGAGCTACATTGATCTTCATCGGTACTACTAGGTGAAAAAATCCTTTTATGATCTGAAAATGAAGGTAAAAAAACAATTACTATATTTTATCAATAATAGAAATAATAATAAAAATCAAAACGAGTTTAATAATAATATTAGTCGATACGTGATTTATCCCGAGTAGAAAAAATACATATAATTAAATTAGTTAATTAATACATACAATTAAATTAGTTCATTTATTTTAGTTGTTAAATATTCCATTAAAGTTGCAGAAATCTTTCTTGAGATCTAAGACTTAAATCTATTGTAACGATCCTATCAATGAGCTATTTTCATAACTCACTGAATAACTGCAACCCACTAAACTCATCAATCTGCTTACATTAATTAGCATATTAAACGGCGCCACCTCACATTATTTGATTGTCTCAGTACAAGAGTCAAATTTCATGACTATATAAGGGAAGTGACGTTATATACTTATAGATGTAGATATAATAGTTTTTGTTACTTGATGAAAATATGTTAATTAAGAGTAATTTTGATGAAACAAAGCATTTTTTATATAGATTTTAGAACATAGATTTAGATTATAATAATTTTAATTGCGTTTAATTATTAAATTATATTAAATTTTAATATGCAAAGTTAATTTGTTTATTACATTGTAAATAGTAATTATTAGAATAATGCGAATACTCTAAATTCATAATGAATATCTTAGAAACATGAGTAAGAATTGGTTTCATTGATAACAGTTTAATTATAACTGTTATCAATAAATAAATAATTAATAATTTATTTAAACATAAAGTTGTATATAGATCGAAAGCGTTAATTTTGTACATAATAATGACAGCTTTATAATTTATAAATCTTAATTAATCTAGTAATTACATTATAAGATTATAGAAAAAACCGTTATAAATATGAACATTTATTATAATTCAAATGTTATTAACTAATTTGAATATTTCTATTTGGAAATTACTTCTACAATTGATAAACTATTAATTTTTATAAAATTTTATTAATGTTTTATTGTAAATATTGTACTATTACATTAATTAACTTTTGACGATACTATTTACGATAATTGTAAATCATACTATAACGATCAATAACTACTTTTGTATAATTTACATGTTTTAAAATTTCAGTATTACTGTTTATTTACTTGTAAATTTAGAAAATTCATTTCTCAAAATTGCGTACACAACTCGAAGAGAGCTGTCCTGCGAAAATAGGCGGGAAAATCGGTGTATAATTACGCTGATTTTTGTACAGGTTAGCATTTACTCCTAGCCTTGCAAAGTGAGCGCGTGAGATTGAATAAACTTAGCTAATACCTAAGTTCTTTCTCTCATTGTAATTAACTGAGCAAATTCTCTCTTTTCCTATTGTTATTCATGCCCGACTCATAGAACTCTTTGAATACATCGACGAAGCATTTAGTATTTTTTAGTAACTGTTCTTTGGTTTTTATAAAAAAAATTTAAAGAAATGAATAGTACACAAATAATTAGTACAATAAATGCCATGATTATTTTCATGGTTAATGTAAGTATTTTATGTATATGGGTAATTCTTGGCTATTTCGATTGACTTGTAACCCTTAGGTTACGGATTTTTTTTTTAATTTGGCACAATTGTTGTACACATAAAACTGAGATTTTTCCCAAATTTTGGAGACAATACATTAATTATATCGAAAGTTATTAACAATTAAAGAAAAATGATAAAAAATTTTCAAACGGCTATATTTTAAAAACTAATAAAGATATCGAAGTCGGATTTTTTTCAAAATACTTATAATGCCTTAAAATTTCGAAATAATAACAACAATAAACAATAAAAAATTTTTTTCGAAAGTTATTAACTTTTTGTTTAAACAATTGCTAATATCTCAAAAAGTATTTTTTTTTTTTTTAAATTCTTGCTCCTACGTATTCCTGAGGATTTTTGCTATCGAAATCAATCATAAAATTCAAGGGCCCGACATATCAGAAAGCGTAGCCCTAATCAAAAGAAGACGCCTCGGCGTAAGGCTGCGGTAGCGCTCCAGCGGACTCACGGTCGAAAGCGACCTGACACCGAGGCATCTTCTTTTGATTAGGGCTACGCTTTCCGATATGTCGGGCCCTTGAATTTTATGATTGATTTCGATAGCAAAAATCCTCAGGAATACGTAGGAGCAAGAATTTTTCAAAAAAAAAAATATACTTTTTGAGATATTAGCAATTGTTTAAACAAAAAGTTAATAACTTTCGAAAAAAATTTTTTATTGTTTATTGTTGTAATTATTTCGAAAGTTCAAGGTATTATAAGTAATTTGGGAAAAATCCGATTCGGTATCTTTATTAGTTTTTTAGATTAAAGCTAAAGTACCTTTCGACCGTGAGTCCGCTGGAGCGCTACCGCAGCCTTACGCCGAGGCGTCTTCTTTTGATTAGGGCTACGCTTTCCGATATGTCGGGCCCTTGAATTTTATGAATGATTTCGATAGCAAAAATCCTCAGGAATACGTAGGAGCAAGAATTTTTCAAAAAAAAAATATACTTTTTGAGATATTAGCAATTGTTTAAACAAAAAGTTAATAACTTTCGAAAAAAATTTTTTATTGTTTATTGTTGTAATTATTTCGAAAGTTCAAGGTATTATAAGTAATTTGGGAAAAATCCGATTCGGTATCTTTATTAGTTTTTTAGATTAAAGCTAAAGTACCTTTCGACCGTGAGTCCGCTGGAGCGCTACCGCAGCCTTACGCCGAGGCGTCTTCTTTTGATTAGGGCTACGCTTTCCGATATGTCGGGCCCTTGAATTTTATGAATGATTTCGATAGCAAAAATCCTCAGGAATACGTAGGAGCAAGAATTTTTCAAAAAAAAAATATACTTTTTGAGATATTAGCAATTGTTTAAACAAAAAGTTAATAACTTTCGAAAAAAATTTTTTATTGTTTATTGTTGTAATTATTTCGAAATTTTAAGGCATTATAAGTATTTTGAAAAAAATCCGACTTCGATATCTTTATTAGTTTTTAAAATATAGCCGTTTGAAAATTTTTTATCATTTTTCTTTAATTGTTAATAACTTTTGATATAATTAATGTATCGTCTCCAACATTTGGGAAAAATCTCAGTTTTATGTGTACAACAATTGTGCCAAATGAAAAAAAAATCCGTAACCTAAGGGTTACAAGTCAATCGAAATAGCCAAGAATTACCCATATATAAATAATTATATTTAAATAAGTATATTTAAATAAGTATATATATATATTTTTTCTTAGTTACAGAACGACGTTGAGAGAATAGAAAGGGTTGCGGCCGAAAGAGCTGCGGCCGAAAGAGCAGCGGCCGAAAGAGCTGCATCCGAAAGGGCCGCAAGCGAAAGGGCTGCAGCGCTCGAAAGGGTGGCGACTGAAAGGACAGTAAAGGCCGCAAAATATATAGCTGATAGGGCTGCTAAAGCTACAGCCGAGAAGACGGCGAGGGCTGCTAAAGCTACAGCCGAGAAGACGGCGAGGGCTGCAACGTCTGCAGCCGAAAAGGCTGCGAGGGCTGCGACCGAAACAACAGCCGTAAAAGCAGCCAAAAAAAGATGTGTAAACGCTGTTCCATTAGCAGCGTTTACATCTCTTCCACCAAAGAAGAAATTTCTTAAAGTAAGATTATTTATTGGTATAGAAAAATACATTTTTTTATTTAATAACTAAATTTTTAAAAATGAATATTATTTTTTAGATGAATGTTGCTACTGATGCTATGGATAGACATCCCATGAGTAGCATCGAAAATTCCCTTCCAACGGTAATCATCGCTACCAGCAACAGCAGCAGCAGCAGCATGATTTTTACTACCACTAATACCACGAGCACGCAGAAAGTGTCACCGAAGGTGAAATCTATTGAAAGCATCACGGACCCTAGTGTATTTTCTTGTTTCAATAGGAAACCTACACGACCTACCAAACTATGTAGTAGGAAAAACAATTAAAAAATTAAAAAAAATTTTTGTAATTTAATAAAATTGTATATTTAATAAAATGTATTCATATTAATTAAATAAATTGATTTAAATTACAAAAAAAAAATATCTCTCTCCCTCTCCCTCCTGCCCTTCCTCACTCACTCTCCTTCGAAAGTAGGGTACTCAGTAAACATGCTGACTAGGTGCAAGTCCTAAGATAGGGGGTAGCGTCTCTAGCTGCTTGCTAGGATCGTGCACTGTATAGCCCTTGGAGAGGGGGTAGCGTCTCTAGCAGGTTGCTAGGAGCGTGCGCCGTATAGCCCTTGAAAAGGGGGATAGCGACTCTAGCGTGCTAGACGCATACGCTGTATAGTGTGGATGCTGCTCTCTCTCTCTCTCTCTCTCTCTCTCTGTCTCGCTCTCCTTCGAAAGTAGGGCATGTGGGCCCTTGGAGAGAGGGTAGCATATAGCTTGGTAAGCTATATGCTGCTCTATCTCTCTCTCTCTCTCCCTTTTTTCTCTAAGCAAGCGCTACAGTAGTTTCATTAGATTTCGGGAATCTTTCAACCTCACAGTTGATTTTATTTGAATATTAATTAATAAAACTTATAGAATTTTCGTTTAATTATTAATTTATTGTTCATTCAACTATACATTAAATATAATACAGACTGTCTATAATCTTTATTTTCAGTAGTTGACATCGCTATATTGAAATATTGAGTTGAATTTTTATATGTAATATTGTCAACTTCATCAATACCTTCCATTTCAGATTGCTTTCGTCTAGCTTTTATCCATAAAAACAATCTTTGTGCATCAGTAACGGCACATGCAAAGTTAGCTGGTTTATTGTAATGATATGTACATATTGTTTATGATGGGTAAGGTAATACGCTCATTGGTGGACATCTCATCGCTTTCAAGTTCTAAAATTTTTCTAAAAAAGGAAAAAAATTTTTAATTAATAATGATTTTAATTTCAAACAAAAAAATAAAAATACTTACTTTTCAGATAAAATTTTTTGTAACCATCGTTTCTTTTTTAATCCTTTTACATAAATATTTCTAGAATTATTTAAATGATTGTTTAGTA